ATAAAAAAAAAATTTTTAAGAAGAAAAAAAAGAAGAGTTATTGTATAAATGAAACTTTATTTTGCATAAACCTAACGGTAACCACATAAAAAATCTAGAACTAGTTAGTATCCACAAAAATCTAGCATCAACAAGAAAAGAAATAGTAAGTGCTGGAGACTAAAAAAGGAACCCTCACACACTGCTGGTGGAAATATAAGCTAGTACAGCCACTATACAAAACCGTATGGAGGTTCGGCAAAAAATTAAAAATAGAACTATCATAGGACCCAGGAATCCCTCTTCTGAGTACACACTCAAAAAATTTTGAAAGCATTTATTTGTAGATGTACATGCACCCTATGTTCCTTGCAGCATTACTGATGGTGGGCAAGACATGGAAACAACCTAGTGTCCTTCAACAGAAAACTGGATGAAGAGAAGTAGCACTTATATATAGTGGAATACTCCTCAGCCACAAGAAAAGATGCACTTTGTGACAACATGGATGAAACTTGAGAGTTTCATATGAAGCGAAATAAGTGAGACAGAAAAGTACATGAACCATGATTTCACTCATATATGGGATATAAAACAGAAAGCAACAAACAAAACAAAAAACTCAAAGACAGATAACAGTGTGGTGGTTAGTAGAGGGGAAGGTGGGGGAGGTGAAAGAGGGTAATGAAAGTCAAAAAATGGTGATGAAAAAAGACCACACTTAAGGTGGTAAGCACATAATGCAATATAAAGATGATGTATTATAGAACTGTACACTTGAACTCATGATCTTATTAACTAATATCCTAATAAATTTAATAAAAAAGGAACAAGACCACTTTCTTACACCATATACAAAACATACTCAACATGGATTATGGACCTAAATGTAAGACCCAAAACCATAAAAGCAGAAGAAAACACAGGCAGCAAACTCTTTGACATCACTCTTTGCAATATTTTTTTGATCTCTCCTCTAGCAAATGAAACAAAAGAAAAAATAAACAATTGGAACATCATCAAACTAAAAACTTTTTGCATAGAGAAGAAAACCATCAACAACAAAAAAAGGCAGTTTACTGAATGGGAGAAGATATTCAACAATGATACATCCAATAAGGAGTTAATATCCAAAATACATAGAAGATATACAATTTAACACCAAAAAAAAAAACAACACAACCCAATTTGATTAATAGGTGGAGGAATGAAATAGACATTTCTCCAAAGATGACATGCAGATGGCCAATAGACATGAAAAAACACTCAACATCACTGATCATCAGGAAAGTGCAAATTAAAACCACAGTGAGGTATCTCACACCTGTCAGAATGGCTGTCATCAATACATCAACAAACAAGTGCCAGCGAGGATGTGGAGAAAGGGGAATCCTTTTCTACTCTCGGTGGGAATGCAGACTGGTGCAGCCACTGTGGGAAGCAGTATGGAGATACCTCAAAAAAATTAAAAATGGAATTGTCTTATGACCCACAATTCCACTTCCAGGAATTTATCCCAAGAAACTAGAAAGACTGATTTGAAATAACATAAGCACCCTGTGTTCACTGCAGTGCTCTTTACAATTGCCAAGATTTGGAAGCAGCCCAAGTGTCCATCAATAGATGAGGGGATAAAATGACTATGGGATATTTACACAATGGAATACTACACAGCCGCAGAGAAGAAGAAAATTTTACCCTGCCCTGGCTGGTGTAGCTCAGTGGATTGAGCAAGGGCCTGTGAACCAAACAACCGAGGTTCAATTCCCAGTCAGGGCACATGCCTGGGTTGCAGGCCAGTTCCCAGCAGGGGACGCATGAGAAGCAACCGTATATTGATATTTCTCTCCCACTCTCCTTCCCTTCCCCTCTAAAGATAAATAAATAAAATCTAAAAAAAAAAAAGAAAAGAAAATTTTACCCTTTGCGACAGCCTGGATGGACCTGGAGCACATTCTGATAAGTGAAACAAGCCAGTCAGAGAAAGACAAATACTGTATGATTTCACCAATAGGTGGAATCTAATGAACAAACTGAACTAACAAGGAAAATAGACAGACTCATAGATGGAGAGCAGGATGACAGCTGGGGGCGGGGAGGGAAGGAGGTGATGGGGTGGAGGGACTGAGCAAAAAGGAAAAAGGACCCATGGACATGGACAACAGTGTGGGGACTGCAGGGGAGAAGGGCATGTAAGGGGACTAACGGGTAATGGAAAAAAATACAATTAAATAGTCACAAGGATGTGAAGTACAGCACAAGAAATACAGTCCATAATGATATAATAACTATGGGGTGATAACTTCCCAAGTCATATAAATGTCGATTAATCACTATGTTGTATACCTGACACTAACATAATTTTATATGTAAACTATAATTGAAAAATAAATATTTTTTAATTAAAAAAACTGATTTTTATCATTGAAAATTCAAAAACACAAGTCATCATGGCCCTATACTACTGCTACCTGTAACACCATTAAACCTCTAAAATGCGGCTGGTGTCCCCACATCATGTTCGGGTGTGTGCACATGTGTACATACACATACGCACCAATGGAGAGGGAAATAAAAAAGAAAAATATATTTGTTAGCAACTCTAAATAGCTATGTTAAAGCAATGTATTAGTATTGCTAGTTATTCATAACTAACCAAGAAAACAAACATCATTAAGGACAAAGACCAAAAACTAACCAAATTAGGCGTAATTTTAAAAATCAGTTACAATGATAATAGCAAGATTTTTAACCACAATAATAACCTTATTTTCTATTCTTTCTTTGATTACTAATATGACTAACAAAATCAAGGCTGGAACGAGTTCTGCCACACTTTAGATGGTTTCTAGGCCTCTGGCCTGAACCTCAAAATCTATCTCCTGTATACATACAATGGATTTATTATCCAACCTTAAAAAAGAAGTAAATTCTGACACATGCCACACAACACAGATGAACCTCAAGAACTTTAAGTGTTAAATAAGCCAGTGACCTAGACAGAGCAGTCACACTGACAGGAGGAGAAAACAGAAGGGTGGTTTCCAGGGGCTGCTGGGTGGAGGGGACACAGGGAGTCATTTAGTGGGGACGGAGTCTGGGTTTTGTAAGATGTTCTGGAGACTGGTGCAAACTTTGTTCATATACTCAACACTATTGAGAGTAGTGCTAAGATGGCAAATTTTAGGGAGAAGGAAGGGAAGTTAAGGGGAAAAAGGGGGAGGGATTTGGAGGAACAAATAGGAAGGACACAGGGACGAGAACTAAGGGGGGTGGAAATGGGAGGGAGGTGGGGAGCAAGGGGCGGGGGAGGCTGGGATGGGAGAAATAGACAAAAAACTGTACTTGAAAAATAACTAAATAAAATTAATTAAATAAAAAAAGATGGCAAATTTTATATTATGTGCTTTTTACCACAATTTTTTAAAAAAGATAACTTGAAAGTTGCCTGGGCCCCCTCATTCTGGACTCTCGCTTTAGGAATCCAAACTGAGGATGTGAGGGGAAGATTTATTAATCAGATTCATGACACAATAGAGGAAGCCTAACAATGTTCCATGTTTTGCTGTCTGTTATATTCCAATTTACATAGTAGAAGTTCTATGAGAAAGTCTTGTGCTTTATGTTTAGAAAGGTATCATCATGAAGATTATACTCCTGGGAGGAAAAGAACATCCAGGATTAGAATCTCCATTTGAAATGCACTCTATTGAGAACCAACTCCAAGGGTCCAGAGAAATGATTCTCAATACAGCACATTTCAAAATCACTGTGGAGCTTTGGAAAAAGGTATTTCCAGTTCTGCTACTATAGACCTGATGACCTCCATTTTAAATTTCAAAACAAATTATTTTACCAGGGATTTAAAAAAGCCACTTCATAATGATAAAAGGGTTGATTCATCAAAAAAACCATAGGAATAAAGCAAGGGTGCAGTATTGAAAAACAAAACAACAACCGAAAAAAGCTACGTGGCATTTCAAATGTGAATGCCTGGTCAAGATCAACAGTTTTTTGACATGTTATAATTAAAAAACAGATTCAAAACTTAGATAAATCATCCTACTATTATGGGGAAAAATTAAAAAATCCTTTCTCTACATGAGAACTTAACCTCTGGTTAACTTTCTGGTTCTTACCTTCTAGAAATCAGAAAACAGAAGCATGCCAACTATGTAGCTAGGCAACACATCTTTTTTTAAATGTATTTTTTAATGTAATATATTTATTGAGGTCAGAGAAAGTGGAAGGGAGGGAGACGCAGAGGACACTGACGTGAGAGAGAAACACAGTGGCTGCCTCCCACACACACCCCAACCAGGGACCGAACCCACAAGCTAGGCATGTGCCCTGACTGGGAATCAAACCACAACCCTTTGGTGTATTGGATGATGCTCCAACCAACTGAGCCACACTGGCCAGGGCGAGGCAATACTTCTTATGGAAAAAAATGTGGTAAGCTACATCTGAATTGGGAAGAACTATAAATGAATTACATATACCTGATGGAGATACACAGCCTTAGGTCTGCCTGCGTGGGGCATGGCACGTCCCTTGTGGGAGGCCCTGAAGATAGTCCATGGCGCTGGAACAAGAGATATTCATTTCTAAGGGGCATGAGTCTTCTAAGCCAGGGAGGCTCCTGAGAATCTTGATACCTTGTAACTGACCTACCACTTTTGGCTAGTCAAAGAGGATAGTTCCTTGACAGCCATGGGGGCTGCTACAAGACCTCCTATAGAAAGAAACACCTGCTGCTGGCCTGCTGGTAAGTGAGGGTTCCTGTGCTACAGGGTAAGTAGAGCAGTGCCCAGTGTGGCCTAAGACAGTCTCATGGGTCTGATTGTTTAGCTGAAACTAGAAAGACCCGTTGATGGGTATTGCAACTAATTTTTATGCTGTGATTTAGACATTAGTGCCTCCATGCCATACCCAAGATCTCTAGGTTGACTCCTTACTCAAAACATTTTCCCATGATCTTTTTGCGAAAGGGGGTAAGGAAAGGAGGAATACATTCTAACCTCCCAATGATCTTGTGTATCCAGAATAGTACAGTATTCTTTCTGTGGTGGTAGTTTTGCCTGCATCGATATGAGCCATAATTCCAATATTACGTATTCTGTTTAAAATAGAGGAAAAAAGACATGCATTATAAGGTGGACATGACTAAAATTGTAAAACCCAAATATCTATGCTGTGCAAATTTTGAAGTTGGTTAGTACTTCAATAATTTATATAATGGTGTAAAAACTAGAAAAGTGGAAAACATATTACTATGATGGTACTCCAACAGAATAAGTTACAAAAGAGTTAATTACAATCTTGTGAATAATCTTACATTTATTTCTATGAAAAATGTGCTGCTGCTACACTAAAATTTTTATCATTCAATTATGAAAAGAAAATAGCTTTTAAGATACATTCCAATATGTGTTTATAATAAGGCACGGCAAAAAGTCACAGAAATTAGGGCATGCGCTAACAATGCTGAATAAAGCCCATGTGAGAAACCTGCACCTCTTCGTGGCGGCCAACGGAGAAGACAATGTCCATGAAAAGATAATACTTACTTAGCTACAGGAGGACTGATGATGGAATGAAGAGATTTGATATCATTTCCTATTAAACCTAAGAGAAAAGGGGTTAAAAATAAACTGTTTAAGAAATTCTCCTTTAACATACGAATGAAATAAAAATAATTTTAAGCAAATACTGTAATTCTAAATAAAATTAATCCAAACTAACTCTCATTCACCTAAAATTTATTTTCCTGTAATCTCTAAAAAATGGCTATGGATGACAATAAAACAAGGTAAAGTTTTTAAACATCAATTTCTAGATCACATCCTTAGAAAATACAGATTTACCCCAATCTCTACCACCTTCCACAATTCCATACTAGAACTGTAGAATTAGAACTAATGTTCATAAAAATAATCTTAAGACAGTATATCTTGATCCAAAGAAAAATACAAAACGCAGTCCTATGATCCTGCACCACCAAGGCTTTAAGAGCTAAGAGGGATCCTCGTATCAGCTAACAATGAACGTTTGTACAGTTTGGAACCCACCCTTCCCACAGCACTCCCACGACACAACACCTTTAAAGTCAGGCTGAAAGACACGAGTGAACAGAAGCTACAATAATCTAATACTTCTAAAAGGCCAGGTAGTATTTCTGGAATTTTAAAAAGTCCATAGTATCTTACTCCATGCTTAACATGTATTTTATTAAAAATATTAAAGCAACAAGGCCATTGTATTTATAAATGTAATCTACAACTTCTGGCTATTTAAACAGGTTCTCCCAAATCTCTAAAATAAATCAAGAGTTCTACTACATTTTGGAAACCTCATGGAGGTTTGAAGATGAAAAACAATCTGTACTGCTACAGATAAATTTAATGAGCAAAATATAGAAACCTAGATACACACCAATAATGCAGGCTAGGCCATTAAATTCACATTCCCTTACAAGTCACAAAGACAATCAGTATTTTTACACTGTTTTTCTCACATGACAAAGATAGTAATGAAAACAGCAAGAGAATGAAACTAGTTCCATCAAATCTCCCACATGCTTGCTCACTTCAAACACAGCAAGAATGTTCAGAATTGGCAAGTTCTCTTGCTTTCAGCTTTTAATAGCTATAATATCTAACCTAAACTATTCCAGATAACTATTTAACCAAACTATGCTCTCAAGAGCCTTCAACATAAATTATTCTGGTAAACCTGTATTGACAAAAATACTTTTGTATGAAAACAGAAATGGACTAGAAAATCAATGTATATATAGCTAGAGCAATCTACAAGTAGACTCACCTGCTAAACTTCTGAGCCAGCTACTAAAGCCAATTCCACCCTTTCCTTCATTCAGCTCCTCAAGATGGCCAGCAGAGGAGGAGCCTAATAAGTCTGCTGGGATTCCCTCCTGGCAGCTATCAGAATACACCCAGTTCCTAATAATCTCAAGGAAATAGCCAAGAAGTAAAAGGAGCCACTATTTTCAAAATGGCTGGAGCCCCCTAACAAGGGAGATGCTTACAAATGAGAGAGATTTGGATGGAGGAGAGAAAAAAGGAGGATGAGGCAAATAGGGAGAAAGGAAGAGGGGAGGGGGAGGGGAGGGGAAGGGGAGGGGAGTTGAGTTTAAGTAAAACGAGGGGAATCTAGCAGTATTACCTGGCAGGGAACTGTAATTTCTTCCAAGAGGCACATGTGTCTTTATTCTTTTTAAACTTGATATAATTCTAGAGCAATACATATTCTAGTGAGGAGAAAAAGAAACAATATTAATTTTATGTTAATATGACTTATTATAGTAATTTTAACATTATAACTATGCTTTTTCAGAGGACAAAATACTTTGAATGTCTTTAAAGCAGTGCCAATCTATTAACTCCAATTCTTTTTAAAAGTGACAATCCGAATTACACTACAGGAAAGAAAAAGAATAAAATTAATGCTAGTTTGCTGTTTGGAGCCCACTTTACATGCTGATTCTCCTAGACCTGCAGCATTAGTATCATGGGAACTTATTCGAGAGATATGTCCTCAGCACCCACTCCGAACAAGAGTGGGTCCTGAAACTCGGAGGTTGGGGCAAAACAATGTGTCTTAACAAGCTCTCCAGGTGACTCTGACAGCTACAGTTTGGGAACCGAGATTCTGAACTTTCCAGAGACTCATAAAGGTTAAAAAGTCTCTCACCTTGGATACTGCTTGGTTCTCCTCTACAGCTGCTGAGAACGGGTGGGGGTCATGAACTCTAAAACCATCAGCTGTTTTCAGGATTTACAACAGTAACTACACAACAGTAGAAACACCTCCAAAGCTTTTAAAAAACATCTGGAGTGTGGGGAGAAGAAACCGGCCTTTTAAAAAGCTGCCCAGGCATCTTCTAATATTCCCACACAGAGGATGAATATTCTCCAACCCAATTTATCCCTAGATCACTAGATACACTTCTGTAAAAAAAAAAAAAATTCTTTCTTTATTTTTAGAGACGGGAAGGGAAGGAGAAGGAGAGGGAGGGAAACACTGATGTGTGAGATGCACAGATCTGTTGCCTCTTCCACAGCCCGACCTGGGAACCTGGCCCACAACCAGGCACGTGCCCTGACTGGGAATCGAACCTGCATCCTTTAAGTTCACAGGCTGGCACTCAGTCCAGTAAGGCATACCAGCCAGGGCACTAGATACACATTTAATGGCTGACAGTATATTTGGAATTGTTACAGTTAGTATATGTAATGATATGGGGTTGCCATAAATTACTTTTTATATTATCTCAGAATGCATGCATGTGCCTTCTATATCGTTTTTCCATTAGTTACCAAGTTTCTAGAAACAAAACACTATTATCCTAAGAAAATGTTAAGAATAAAGAAGAGACTCAAAGCTATCAAAATTTCCACCAAGGTAAGACGGAGTGTAAGGTCTTAAAGCGGCAGCAATGAAAACACTGAAGAAAAACTGTAACTCCTTAGGCCACTAATGACTTCCAAATGGAACACAGAAATGGTTATTTTTCAAAATGCTTGCAGCACAGGTGATTTTATTTATTTTATTTTTTTTAATATTTTATTTATTTATCTTCAGAGGGGAAAGGAAGGAGAAAGGGAGAGAAATATCAATGTATAGTTGCCTCTCATGTGTCCCCTGCTGGGAACTGGCCTGCAGCCCAGGCTTGTGCCCTGACTGGGAATCAAACTGCGATCCTTCGGTTCGCAGGCCCGTGCTCAATCCACTGAGCTACACCAGCCAGGGCGAATTTATAAACTAATGATAAGGCATGCCTCCTGGTTACAGGTTCTCCCTTACCTGTCAAGAACTGCTAAAGATAAAGACAAATTAATATACATACACGTGTATATGCATGTGTGTGTACTACACATATGCACACACATATATGTATATACACATACATAGTAGGCCTTTTGGGAAGTAAAGTAACTAATGTTGAAGTACATTTAATTTTACAAAAACACTTACATTAATGTGCAAGCAAGATATTTTCTTATGACTCACTGCAAATGTCCTCAAATTAGACAACATCTTGGCCTTCTAAACTGTTACTCTCTGAAAAAGAAAAATACAAAATTATAAAACTAAGTTTACATGTTACATGTCAGTAACACATGTAAGTAAAGCATATGTAATATATATGGTAAAAATGTATTACTTTTAAAAAGTAAAAACAATGTATTGTTCAGGACATAGAAATTGTGACTAAACATAAAAAATACCACTCCGAGCTTAAAATGTCCCTTGTATTTTTTCTGCATGAATTCTTCAAGATATGAAGATACTACAGAAACAGACGTTTTGAAATTATAAAGATATATCACGCCGACCAAAATGTATAGAATTAAGAATAGGAAGGTAAGCAAGCATCTATATGTTGGTAATTTCTCATTGGTAATATACCTTTTGGGTTTATCTATATATTCTGATTTTTCTACCATAATTATGTAAAAATAAAATGTAAAAACATACAAAAGCAGCACTCTCCGTCTCAGGAGCATGCCCGGGCCTTTCCCGTCCCCCTCTTCTTCCCACCAGGCATGTATGTTACCTTTGCTGTTCTCTCTCCTGTGCTCCAAGGGCCTTTCTTTTGCTTCAGTGACTTGTTTCCAGAATTTACGCAGCTCAGATGGCTCACTTCTACTACCTTTGACTTCTACTACCTTTGTGACTTTCTAAATAAGCTTTCTTTATAATTTGAAATAAAATATATACACACTCACACAACAGCAACTCCTAGTTAGTCCTCTTTTTCTATGATCACAGAAACTAAGCAACTTCAGTTTTACAACATTTACGAAATACTCACTGTTTCAAGTACACTATCAAAGCTATGAGAAATAGAAGCAACTGAGTCGATGGGGAGAAAAGTAAATAAATATGGTTAAACCATTGTGCCCAATGTTATATAAGAAGCCGTGTCAAAACTTATTATTATTCCTCTTAAATTTGCTTTTTTCCCCCCTGTGTCTTAAGACAAAAACAATCACTATCCATATTCAGGAAGTCAAATCCTTTTTATTTTATTTCCTAAACACAGGGTCCAGCACAAATACCATCTCTTTTTTATTACAAAATCTTTTATGACAAAATCAGCCTTGGCTGGTGTAGCTCAGTGGATTGAGCACGGGCCTGTGAAACAAAGGATCCCGGTTCACCAGTCAGGGCACACACCTGGGTTGCAGGCCAGTTCCCAGCAGGGGACCCACAAGAGGCAACCATACATTGATATTTCTCTCCTTCTCTCCTTCCCTTCCCCTCTAAAGATAAATAAAATCTTTTAAAAAAGATGTTCTACAATTTTCAGAAAGTTATTAAAATAATCTTTCCTTTTCTAACCACATATCCACGTGTGTATGAAGCTGAATTTTCTTTTTACAATTCAACCAAAAACTAAAAAAAATACACATAGTAACATATTTAGTACAGAAGCAGGTATGAGATGCCAGCTGTTTTCTACTAAGCCAGATATTGAGGAGACTTACTGTACAAAACTGTAATGCAATGTAAAACACTCTTCAAACTATTTTTGTTTTGAAAAATAGTTTTCATAAAGCTATATTACTTACATCAACATTAAACAGATTTATTTACTTTTCAATGAACCACTAAAATATTTTGAAGTTTTAAGTTCTAATACTTGAATATCAATTACAACCCACATTAACAATCCTCTCTGCAGATCTGAATCATTTTTAAGAGTGTGAAGGGATCCTACAGACCAACAATTTTGAAAAACGTATTTCAACACCATGTTTCCCAAAGAGAATGCCAATGATTATTTTGGGTTATATACAAAAAAATTTCTTACTAAATAAATATTAGAAAAAATGGCCAACAAAACCTGTGATTTTATACGCGATGTTAAGATGAAGTTAAATTAATTTATATAAAGTTGTGAATTAATTTATGGAAAATGGTAAGTTAATAACAGCAAGTGACATTCAGCTATAACCAGTCTGAAAAAATGGTACTCAAATCACTCAAGTGGGAAATACTGCTTTAGTATGGATTACACATATCCTTCAAATAAACATCTTGTCACTTCCCTACTTAAGGTTTTTGACATGCCCAATCTGCCCCCAGCTACCCTCAGTTTTGTACTCCTCTATTCCCTACTCTATGCTGGGGAGCCCCAGCCAAAATTCCCCAGAAACCAGGCTCTGACACCCTTACACCGCTGCGTGTTGCCGTGTAATGCCTGCAAGCATCTCAGAAACCCCAAATCGCCCCACCTAGGAAATTCTATTCAATCTCCAAGCCCCAGCTTAGAAGCCTTTCCTAATTTCCCAGAAAGTTTAACACTACCTTCTCTGTGTTTTAGAACACCTGGATTCATATTTACTCATGACAAAAATGGTATTTACAAGTTATCTCCATTACTGTGAGCTCCCGAAAAGGAGGGATCTCCTAGCAGCAGTGCCCAGCACAGTGCATCAGACTTCTTTTTTTTTTTTTTTGGACCTATAGTCATTTACAGCCCTGCAGTGATTTTCTTCTTTCCTATGTCCCAATGAACTTCAGGGAATGGTTTCCTACCGGTGCTATTAACTGAGTTATTGCATAAGGCCGAGACTTCTTTAGGCCTTGGAAAATATTTAAGTGCTCACCAAAAGTTGTTTAACACCTGACGGTATAAGATCTTTTGCATCCTTGAAGGTCAGCGGTGCCCAAGGCAGGGTAGGGTCTTAGGCACGCCAGGAGTCGCACCGCGCGGTTCGGTACCCACCTGGCACTGAACCGCATCCCGGAGGCCGGCTTTTTCTCTACAGGCTGCGGAGAGCGACAGGTACTGGCATCTCGGCAATCTACAGAAGCCTCAAGTTGCAACGTCCGCCTACCTCAGCGAACGTCCCGGTTCCTCCAGAACCGAACTTACACCCTCGCACTTCTGCCCCCTCAGGGCGCCACCGCACACGGGAACACACCACTTCCGGCGGTACATCATTGAAATACCTCCTGCCGGCAACTTCCGCCCTTCACGCCAGAAGCGGAGAACAGAAACTCGGAACGAGTATGTTGCGCTTTCACTAGAGACGGTCGTCGTAGAAGTGTTCCTTTCCTGTGGCGGGGCGCGTGAAGTTGGATCGTGGGTCTCTGAGACCCGAAAGTTGACCTCATCTAAGTGCTCGGAGGACTGCCCCTGGCAGCCCAGCGGCCGTAACCATGGTGAGGAGGTTGCCTCGGGCGTTGGTTTAGTAGAGCGTTTGTGTTGGTGGGGCCTAGGGTCCCCAGGCTCTGGGGCTGGAGGGTGAGCCTTGGTAGGCGGAAGTGAGGTACTGCTGAAGGGAATAAGGATCGACTTGGAAAGGTTGGCTCCTTGGAGTGAAAAAAACAAAAAAACCCACTTCACATTGGGGATACAGAATGGGGTGTTTGCCAGAGCAAAGTTTTAGAGCGAGACAGGTTTCACTCCGTTAAATTCCTGGTTTCGCCACGTGTTGCGTGACTAATGGTGCCAGAGCCTAACGATAACCCTCTGTCGTAGGCAGTAATCCCACTGCCACTTTTTTTTTTTTTTTTTGCTGAGGAAATTGAGGGCATGCATCTTTGCACGGGCCAAGCAACTAAGGAAATGCGTAGTTGGGCTCCCAGTCTAGTTCTGACTGCCAGATCCTTTCCTCTACATCTCTGTTTCTCTGCAACATGACATTCCACCTCTTTCATAGTTGCTGCAAAGTTGGTAACAGTTGGCTATACGAACTATCTTGTTGGTTGTTTTAGTATTATTCTCTGTGATGGAGTTGGCTTTGTATCATTATTTTATCTTTGCAGTCTTAAAATACAAATAGACCAGGGCTGCATGTTTAAAGGAAAATAAAACTGACATATAAAACAGGCTTTTTAAAAGCAAAAAGGATTTCATATATCGCTGGTGAAATGCAAAATAGCATAGCCATTTTGGAAAACAGCTGGCATATGTCCAAACAAATGGACACATATGTGCCCTTTTATTCATTCAAAACTGGGGGGGGTGGAACCCCAAATATCCATCACTTCTCCTTGGGTAAACAAATGGTGGTATATCCAATACATTGTAATATTACTTTACAGTAAAAAAGGAGTAATGTGCCAGTACATGCAACAACATGGGGAATCTCAAAAGCCTTATACCAAGTGAAAGCTAGATGCAAAAAGCTACATACTAGAGATTCCACTTCAATTTCACTCTGGGAAAGACAAAACTTAGAGCTAGAAATCAGATTGGCAAAAGAGGATTGACCTCAAAGTGACACAAGCCAACTTCCTGGGGGGATGAAAATATTTTCTATCTTGATTTTGGTTGATAAACAGTTGTACAGTGTCAAAACCTACAATTGAATGAGATCCTGTATCAGGTCGTCCCTTTTGTGGTTCAGTGGATTTTGGACAGTTCCCTTCAGTAATTTTCTCTGAGATTATTAGATGTAGATTCTGATGCCTCATATCAGCAAGGATCAAAACTTATTTAACATACCTCATGTGAATAGGCTTAATACTAGAAGAGTTATTTAAGGGAGAGAACATTTCAGTGATACACGGTATTTTATGCTTCACACGTTGCTCAAAAGAAATTAAAGTTAATATTTCTTGCATCTTTATAGCCACAAAACGAGTATATTGAGTTACACCGTAAGCGCTATGGATATCGTTTGGATTACCATGAAAGAAAGAGAAAAAAGGAAGGTCGAGAGGCTCATGAACGTTCAAAGAAGGCAAAAAAGATGATTGGTCTGAAGGCTAAGCTCTACCATAAACAGCGCCATGCTGAGAAAATACAAATGAAGAAGACGTAAGTGATCATTTATTTGTTGTAGCAAGTTAACATCTTTTGAGTAATAATTAAAAATTATAATCTTTTTCCTTCTTTGTAGTATCAAGATGCATGAAAAGAGAAACACCAAACAAAAGAATGATGAAAAGACTCCACAAGGAGCAGTACCTGCCTATCTACTGGACAGAGAGGGACAGTCCCGAGCTAAAGTACTTTCCAACATGATTAAACAAAAACGAAAAGAGAAAGCGGTAAGCAATAAAATAATACAGTCTTTATATCTTTTTTGTTCAGGGGAATTACTTAAATTCAAACTTGATGTTCTTTGGAAACATGAACAAACAGTGTAGTCCAGTGAGGTCCAACTACCATATTCCCCACTAAGATGTTGAAGTCTTAGTAAAATTGCTTTTTCATCAACTAGCACATTTTAATATTTAGAAGGGGAGGTGTTTTTATTTTTAAATTTTATTAGAAAGCCACTTATCTTTAGATTTTTTTAAAATTATTTAAAAGCAAGCAGTGAATCTCAAATTTAGTACTTTAATAGCTTCCTGTACTTGACAGCTAATGCTGTGCTGCTGTGAAGGGTACAACTCTTCTTATTTATGCTGTCCCAGAGCATGTCAAAATTGGTCAGAAAGTTGGATTATGAAAACATCCTCAAGTGATTGAACTTAAAAATTCAGTCTTAAAATTTCTGGATTGCGCTGAAAACAACAAAAAGGGCATAGATACTATTTTTGTAAACACCTGCAGACAGATCGACAGAAGTCCAGGTAGCAGCAAAATATGTAGTAGCTATATTAAAGACCTTACAGTCTCCAAATTTGATTTTTAAAATGTTACTGCTTGTTTATTGGTGTGTAATTATTCAAAATTAGAGAGGTAGAACTTCAGCACTAAAAGAAACTTCAGAGATTATCTAGTTAACCCCTCCTCATTTTAGATGAAGAGACTGGAGTCCAGGAGGTTGTGAGTCATTCTGCACAGTTGTGAGTCCATAAAGTGTTGGATATCCTCTAGAACCTCTGTGTTAGTAATAAATAGGAATTCTTGCTACTGGCTTGCATTGCTTGTTTTTCCTTGTAGAATCTGCATTCTAGGGAAGTATAAAACACCTGGTGATGATTTTGTGTTACTAGTAATATAATCTAAAAATCCACTTGAGGAGGTAGAAATACAAAGGTATGTTAAAAGATGGAGACACACTGCTACTTTTACACTTTTTACTACTTAGTACTAAGCACATACACTGCCTCTAGAGTCACCACCTTATTACGTGTAGTATTTTTCATCCATAATAAGGTGTTGAGATTTTTAGCTTAAGCAAACCATTTTCTTTAATGTACCTATGATGTATAGTAAATTAGTTCCAATTATTTGAGGGTTTGTGAGGAGACAGTGCAGACCTCTAGAAAACAAATGAAGCCAAAATCTTGTTGGTTAAGGAAAAAAGTGAATTATTTCTTTGTACAACTAAAACATAACTTGATTTTTTTCTCATTTTTAAAAAAATGTATTGATGCTATTACAGTTGTCCCAATTTTCCCCCTTTGTCCCCTCTGCCTGGTGTCACCATTCCCTCCAGCAACACATCCCCTCCTTAGTTCATGTCCATGGGTTGTGCATATAAGTTCTTTGGCTTCTCCATTTCCTCTACTATTCTCAATATCCCCCCATCTGTCTTCTACCTATCAATTATGCTTAATCCCTGTGCCTTTTTCCCCATTCTCCTTCTCCCTCCCCACTGATAACCCTCCAAATGATCTCCGTATCTATGATTCTATTCCTGTTCTGGTTGTTTGCTTAGCTTGTCTTTTCAGATTTAGTTGTTGATAGTTGTGAATTTGTTGCCCTATTAATGTTCATAGTTTGATCTTTTTCTTAAATAAGTCCCTTTAACATTTCATGTAATAATGGCTTGGTGATGATGAACTCCTTTAACTTTACCTTGTCTGGGAAGCACTTCATCTGCCCTTCAATTGTAAATGATAACTTTGCTGGATATAATAATCTAGGTTATAGGTTCTTGCTTTTCATTACTTTGAAACTTCTTGCCAGTCCTTCTTGCTTGTAAAGTTTGAGAAATCAGCTGACAGTCTTATGGGAACTCCTTTGTAGGTAACTGTTTTTTTTCTTACTAAGATTCTTTTAACCCTTGGTATTTTAATTATAGTATGTCTTGGTGTGGTCCTCTTTGGGTCCAACTTTTTTTCAGATTCTCTGCGCTTCCTGGACTTGTGTGCCTATTTCCTTAACCAAATTAGGGAAATTTTATTTTTTTCAAATAAGTTTTCAGTTGTTTGCTCTTCCTCTTCTCCTTCTGGCATCCCTATGATTTAGATGTTGGTGTGTTTGGAGATGTCTCAGAGGCTCCTTATACTATACTCATTTTAATGATTTTTTCTTCTTGCTGTTCTGGTTGAATGCTTACTTTCTTATATTCCAACTCAGTTTGAATCTTGGCTTCATCCCCTCCATTGTTGGTTCCCTGTAGATTTTTCTTTATTTCACTCAGTGTAACCTTCATTTCTTCTGGGGTTTATGTTGTTACTGTACTCAGTGAGTTCCTTGAGCATCATGATAATCAGTGTTTTGAACTCTGCATCTGATAGGTTGGTTATTTCTGTTTTGTTCTTTTTCTGGAATTTTGTTTCTTTCATTTAGGCCTTATTTGTCTCCTCAGTTTGGCAGCCTCGTTTGTGTATAAGATAGGATTCTTTGACTTCCTGTCTTAGTAGTGTGGCCTGTTGTAGAACAGGCACCTGTAAACTGTGTGGGGTGGAGCCTTAGGTAATTGCCAAGGCAGGGCAGCCTGCTTCACCACTTTGTGGCTGTGTGCAGGGAGGGCTTGGAAAGGGGACTGCTGCTTCCTAGCTTCTGGAGGTTTCCAGTCATTTCATTTACTCCCCATAAGAGACTGGGGCCCTTTCAACTGTTACCCTGGTGAATTCCAGAGGGACTGGGTCTGCATGTGTTCTAGGTCTATGTGGGTCCTTTAAGCAGTCTCCTGAAAATCTGGCATTTTCTTCCACCACCCCAACCTCCACTGGTTTTTACAGCCAGAAGTTACAGGGATTTGTCTTCCTGGAACTGGAAGCCTGGGCTGTGCAGTCTGGCTTAGGGCTGGGGTAGCTCACAGCCTAGGTACCCCTCCTGATTTTTATCTAGCGTGTGTGTATGTGTGTGAGAGTGACTGCCCGTTCTGCAATCACTCCAACCCACATCTCTACCCCTCCTACCCATGGATGAATATGGCTTTAAATCCTTGGTTGTCTGATTTCTGTACTGCTCAGTTTTCTGATGGTTCTGGGTGTTACTTGTTTTGACGCCTAGTTGTAAATCTGTGGTTGTGTGGGGAGGCAAAGCATATCTATCTCAGCCTCCATCTTGACCTGAAGTGTTCATTGTCTTTTACTAACAATATACATTTTAACTGTGGTCTATTTTTAGGGGAAATGGGAAGTCCCTCTGCCTAAAGTTCGTGCCCAGGGAGAAGCAGAGGTATTAAAAGTTATTCGAACAGGAAAGAGAAAGAAAAAAGCATGGAAGAGGATGGTTACTAAAGTGTGCTTTGTTGGAGATGGCTTTACTCGAAAACCACCTAAATATGAAAGATTCATTAGGCCAATGGTAAGTCCTTTGCAAGAGTGCAGTGGCTTAAATATTAGTTCCTTTGTTAAATAAGATAAAGTACATTGCAATTTCCTGGAATTCCTATATTGATTTGAAAGACATTTTAAAGCTATTTTTGGTATTTTAAGTTAGTGGTAGGTATTACTTGGGATTTTTCTGTATCGTCAAAAATCTTGTCTTCACTTTCATAAATGATTTGAGATGAAAAATAATTTTCATTACATTGTCAAGTAAATCTTGACTTTAAAAAATTATGTATTAGAATCTTTATGTTCCAAATGAAGTCATTTTACTCATTCACTAAGTATTCTACTATACAGGTGTTTTACTATACAAGTGCCTAATGACTGACTTGTCTGAGAAGATTTAAAAACTAGAATAGGATTTGTTCAAGCCAATTCTGGTTCAAGAAGGAAAGTAGCAATGCTTTTGAAAACATTCAGTATGTAATCATTGCAAAAAGAGAATTTAATGTAAAAGTGGGGCTTTACTTTCTTTTGATATTGACAGCAGCAATGGTCAAAACCAGTGTCCCACCCAATATAATTTAAAATACATTTTTGCAAAATCCTTTAAATAGACTGAATTATTATTCTAACTGGATATCCAGCCTGCTTAGAGAAACAAAGAATTAGAGAGGAAAGTTGGCAGTGTTACTCAGGCTCTCAACCTAAATAAATTTTTAATGAATTAAAATGTCAAACAGCTAATCTCTGTAAGTAAAGTTCTATGGAACACAGCCATGCCTATTCATTTACATATTGTCCATGGCAATGTTTTTCCTGCACAGTTTGAGTACTTTCAAGAGACCATATGGCTTGCAAAGCCTAAAATGTTCAGTGTCTGGTTATTTACAGAAAATGTCCACCCATCACTAGATTACATCATGGACTCCCTTTGTTTTGATTTCATATTTATAATCATTTACAGGTTGGTAGCTTTATCAGTTCTACAAAGAAAGCGTACACCAGACTGGCTCTTCTTGGCTTTCAGTAGCCGGGAAGATACATATATGTCTTAGTGTGAGTATCTTAATGTGAATTAATCAGATGGCATTCTGAATGGTACAATTTTCTTACCCCCTTGACTAATGACTGCATTACTAAGAACTTGATTTAGTATCTTTTGCCCGCTATGTATAGGTAATTATCATACTTAAAAGACTGCAAAGTGTTGCGGTTTTTTAATGTGCTGCACTCCAAAGACCATATCTAGGTTACTAGGTGTCTGTGGTCTCTTGTAACAGACTCCTCGGGAATCTTCCAGTTCGTGACCAGTGTCACCATTAGTGTAAAGAAAGCTGACCACCTGCTTGATTTCTTATCATGGAAGTTATATGAGGTATATGGACTTGGAATCATCACGTTTAAAGTTTGATTTTGTCCACACACCATGTAACCTGGGAACAAGTCCTTTAACCTGCTAATCCTAGTTTTGCTGGTGTTGTTTTTAAATAGAGTGAATTATAGTTATCCTGTAACTCAGATTTTTAGTTAGTATTTTTATTTGATGCCTTCAGAGTTTACATTAATACATGTTGTTTTTGGTTTATTTTCTTGTTTTTCTTTTGAGGCTATTGGGGGGGGAAGCAAAAACAAAAAAAATTATTACTTGTAGTTAACATTTTGGACTCAAAAAACATTCTTGTGTTTGACTTACTAGGGTTTACGTTTCAAGAAGGCCCATGTAACACATCCTGAACTGAAAGCCACCTTTTGCCTGCCAATACTTGGTGTAAAGAAGAATCCCTCATCCCCACTTTATACAACTTTGGGTGTTATTACCAAAGGTACTGTCATCGAGGTGAACGTAAGCGAGTTGGGCCTTGTGACCCAAGGAGGCAAGGTTATTTGGGGTAAGTAAATTTTTTTGTATGGAGGTATTACTCTTCTAATCCTGAAAATAAAAATGTTCAAGTTGACATAAAGTACCCAGCAAATCTTAATGCACAAGAGCTAGGTAAGTTAAAACTTGGTATAAATCAGATTTAAAGTTTTAGAATACTTTTTGTAGAAAAAAGTAGTTTTGAAAATAATTCATTTTAATTTAGCTCATTGGTTTGAGCTATGCAGTGTGCTGCGTTGCTAGATTTTGATGCTGTTTATTTAAAGCAGCATTAATTATGAGGGAAGCAAATGCAGAGATGTACTTGTAACTAAAAAATAGTGGAAGAATATACAATAAATGAACCATGAGTGAGGGAAGAGAGCATACATCAAATGACACTATTTCAGCAATAATTAAAAACTGAAATGTGTCATGTAGCGACTACAAATTTTTTCCCCTCATTTTCTTTTTTTTTAATTAAATAAATTTATTTATTTTTTTTGAATTGTTTATGCTGTTACAATTGTTCTATTCCCCCCTTCATTCCCCTCCACCCTGCCCCCCCAACCCCCCCATTACCCCCCCTTTAGCTTATGTCCATGTGTCTCAAGTCCTTTAGGTTCTGTATTTCCCATACTATTCTTGCCCCCCCCCCATCTATTTTCTATCTACTGTCTATGCTACTTATTTTCTGTACCTTCTCTCCCCGTCTTCTCCTCCCACTCCCCTGTTGCTAACCCTCCTTCAGATCTTCATTTCTATGTTTCCACTCCTGATCTAGCTGTCCTTTTAGTTTGCTTTCGCTCCAGGTGTGGTTGTTAATAACTGTGAGCTTGTTGTCCTTTCACTGTTCATGTTTCTTTAACTTCTTTTTCTTAGATAAGTCCCTCCAACATTTCATATAATAAGGGCTTGGTGATGATGAACTCCTTGAATTTGGTCTTATCTGAGAAGCACCTTATCTGTCCTTCCGTTCTAAATGAAAGTTTTGCTGGGTAGAGCAATCTTGGTTGTAGGTCTTTAGTTTTCATGACTTGGAATATTTCTTTCCAGCCCCTTCTTGCCTGTAAGGTCTCTTTTGAGAAATCTGCTGACAGCCTGATGGGGACTCCTTTGTAGGTGATTGTCCCCTTAGCTCTCGCTGCTTCCAGGATTCTCTCCTTCGTTTTAATTTTGGCTAATGTAATTATGATATGCCTTGGTGTGTTTCTTCTTGAGTCCAACTTTTTTGGTACTCTCTGGGCTTCTTGGATTTCTTGGAAGTCTGTTTCCTTTGCCAGATTGGGGAAATTTTCTTTTATTATTTGTTCAAATAGTTTTTCCACTGGTGGTTGTGTCTTTCCCCCTTCTGGTACCCCTATAATTCGGATATTGGAGCGTTTATAGATGTCCTGGAAGTTCCTAAGCTTCTCCTCATTTTTCTGAATTCTTATTTCTTCATTCCTTTCTGATTGATCATTTTTTTCTTCCTTCTGGTTCACTCCATTGAGTTGAGTCCCAGTTTTTTTTCATCTCTATGGGTTTCCTGTGGAATTCCATTCATTTCCCTTAATTTAGCCTTCATATGTTTCTCTAATTTGTGGCTATAGTCCACCAGATCTGTGAGGAAGCTGACGACCAGTGTTTTAAACTGTGCGTCTGAGAGATTTGCTATTTCTTCGTCACTTAGATTCTGGCCCTTTAAGTGAGAGAAGCGGTGCCTTGGAGTCCCAGGTCGCTGGGTTGTGACGCTGTATGCGGGGGTGTGGCCAGAGCGGGGAAAATGGCGCCGCAGCCGGTCCCACCGCTCACTCCCTCACCCACGCGTAACCGGGCACCCACAGTCAACTCGCTGCCACCGCCTCCCCACTGACTCCTCCGTAGTCGCTCACCCGGTGGGCTGCTCACTAGGTCCAATCCTGGGTTTGGAACCCGTGCGACTGGATTCGCGCGCCCGGGTCGATCGAGTTCTCCTTTGTAACTCCTCACCCGCCGCCGGTTTCGCCCCTTACCGGTCGGGCCGAAGAGTTTGTTGTTTGCAGACTTCTGAAAAGTTCAGTTTTCCGTGTTCTGGTTGTGTTTTCTGATGCTAATATTTAGTTGTCCTTAAACTTGGTTGTGAGAGGAGGCAGGCACATCCACCTTAAACCTCCATCTTGGCGGAAGTCTCTCCCCTCATTTTCTTATTTTTTGCTTTTAGTGCCCAGATATGTCTAAACTTTATTATTCTTAGAAAGGGAAGAATATGTTTTATAACTCTTAAAAGTGATTAATTAGAAATATAGGGGGCAAAGGTTGTATTCTTTAATAGCTAATCTCCCTCTTTTTCTCCATTTTGTTTCCTTAGGAAAATATGCCCAGGTTACCAACAATCCTGAAAATGATGGATGTATAAATGCAGTCTTACTGGTGTAACAGCAGTTTCATACAAGTAACCCCTGTAATTATTGGAAGACTATGCATCAGTCAGGGAAACAGGACTGTGATGTTTCTGCATACTTCAATTATTACAATGGCTTACATGTCTGCAGTCATCAGGAGAACTATTTTATTGTAAAGAACATTAAAATGGCCCAGTTTTACAAATTGGTATTTGTTTTGGACTGTGTTTATCATTTAGTTATTTATGAAATTAATGATTTTTTAAAAACAGTTTAAACAATATTCTGCTTCATCAGTAATGTCATTTCTGGAAAAGCCAGTGTAGTTGAAATACCTTTTATCCTAAGTGCACCTTAGCATGGGGTCTAGGCTGTAAAAGTCCGTCACATGTATAACCTCACCTCATTATTCATCATTAATACTGAGAACTGTAGCATTAACACACTTGGTAATATTTGTTACATTATTCAAGTATTCACATTAAAGGTATACAAGAAAAAAGGTACATTACACTAATTCAGAAGAACTTAGATAAATCTTTTCACTTGTAATTCTTCTTCAGACATTAAATCAGTAGTTAGTACTTAGAACAATTTTTTTCTTTCATCATTTATAGTAATACCTACTTGGAACTGTTTTCTATTTGACATGAAAAAACACCAAAATGTTTATGCTTTAGCATTGTCTATGTTCTAAATTAAGGTAGTATATTTTCAGAACTGGAAAAATATGTTTAATTTCAGGAAGAATGATCCTTAAAGGGAAATATATTGATAGTCACATACAACATTAAAAAAAAATGTTAGCATTATAACTAGGACAAAGCACTTTTGTGGTATGAATTATACGTGTGTGACTTTGAACTTTTAGGGTGTCTTATTAATCTATAATCATTGTTTTAAAATTTGGTTTATTTTTTAAAGTCTGTCTTAAAGGTACAATAGTGTGTGCCTGTAACAAAATCATTTTAATGTCTAAACAAATTAAGTATCTAAACACATCTTCATCAGTGAAATTAATAGAAAAGAAAAAAGAATTTCAAAACACAGACCAGGAAACAATCACAAAATATAGGTTTAATTACTACTTTTAAACTTAAAAAAAGGAAAAAAACTATCAAGAAAACAAACGAGTACTTCGGTAAGACTTGCTATTCTGAATAATGTAATATAACCTTTTCTAAGTTCTATAAACTGTAAATTTTAGAATACAGACACTTAGGAAAAGAAAAGCTAGGCTAGTTCCTTGGGAATGATTATCCAGTAAAATAATACAATTACTTCAGGGTAACAGAAGCTGAACCTTTCTCACAATTAGATTTTAACAAATGATTTTTGCCAGTAATAGAAATGGGGAATGTGTAAATAACTTAGTTTTGGAAGGTGAAAGCAAAACATCAACTAAAGGTAAGCACTTGATACTACAGAACTAAGGTTTGCTTATTTTTTAGAACCAAAAATAAGCAAGTTAACTATACTGTACAAAGAAAGTTTGATACTAAATACGCAAACAGAAGCATAACTAATCACACCCATAAAATACTGGATAACATCTTAAACACGATACTGAAGTCAGTGGACATAACAAGGCAGAAATTGTAAAGTACTGTTACACAGATGAGTAATGTTAGTATAAATTCTTTATTTACACATTAAGAATCTGTTTCAGTTTGCTGGTGTGACCAAATTTTAGAAGGTAATCCCTAAGGGTGAAGCAGAACATAAGAGCAATTATGAGACAGTTGGTAACTGCTCAATTTACTGCAATCATAAACTTCCAATATATGTTTCTGAAGTCACTGAAACCATTTTAGGTAGTGTAGTGTTCTGGTGGTCATCAAAAAGCGAACCATTAATCACTAGTAGTTGCTATTCTTCCTGTGAAATTCTGTGCTTAATGGAAACACCATGAATACAGACACAATTTAAGCAGATGACTGATAACTCTCTCATGCTATTTGATTTTATATAAAATCACAACAGACCCTTCACCTTTAAAATTGTAGAGGAGCTTTATAATAAATTCTTAAATATACTTATTTCTGTGATGTCTAGCACTTTAATAAACAAAAGTACAACTAAAATTTTGATAACTGTCTGCTTTATATTACACAAGGAAATATATATGTATTTACACAAACTGAAGTGACCTCCTTTCTCCACGAATAAGACTTCTAAACAGAAAACAGCTCACAAAGGACTACAGGATGTGACTGAACACTTAGGGACTAGACGAGCTGGCTGAAACCAGATTTCTGTCCTCTAATTCTGAAAGTTTTCCTAATGCCTTGCAAAAACTAAGTATTCTGATGAAATTTAGTTTCATTGTTGAGGATATATTCTGGTATAAATTCTATACTCACTGACTATAGAATTCATTTACTGAAAAATGAACACATTGCTGAATGTGAAAGTCAGGTTTTTCCATATGACCCAATTTTCCTTTACCATCTCTCTATAAATGCCAAAATGACATTCTGTTAGAGATAATATGTAACAAGTTTTCTTGAGTGCTGAAAAAAAGCTTTGAAATTGCTTAAAATGCACTTTCAAGAATAAACCAAACATGTTTAACAAGTTTATACTGTTAGTCCTTAGCAATCAAATAAGAATTACTAAACATTTTTTTGTAAACTCAGCAACTATATTCACACATCAAGCATTGTCAGTGAGCTCAATCTTCCTAAATTATACCTTTTTAAAGAAAATGAATAATCCAAATAAGGAAGTAAAATGTTCGATTTTTATCTGTTATAATAAAAAAGAAAAGTTTAAGAACAAGAACCTACTCAATCTTCATTTTCCTATTTGTGATTTTAACAAATTTTTAATAAAATGTATAAGATAGCATAAACATGTGATAACTAGTATTACTCATACTTTCTCACTTATGTACCCTTTTTTTTTTTTTGAGAAAACAAACAGCCAAAGTGCTATAATTTTCATTTAGCATGAAATTTGACTTACCTCAAGCAATAATTAAAGAAAACTTGGGGATACAAGTACTCAAAATTTTACAATGAATAGGGGTGTTTGCTATTTTGCCTGCTTAAAAGATTTTAATGTAGAAATTCCTAAAATACCATCATCCCAAAATAAAATTTAATGACATTACCTGACTGTGGACTAAAAACCTCAACATCAATCCTGATACATTTTTTTCATTAAGGACCAAGGTTGTTTTACAAACAATCTAAATACTCTCAAAGCATTCTTCACCTTAATTACACATCTGAGTATACATAATACTTCAAAGAATAATATTGTTTTGAGATTCTCTTTGGATTCTTTTTTTTTTTAATTGATTTCTAGTTTAGTTTAGTTTAAGGCCATTTTTTTACTCTACTTTTTTCCATTGCTATTTATCCTCCTTATACCTGCTCCCGCCTCCACCCACCCCCCTGCCCCCAGCAATTACCACACTGTTGTCCATGTCTCTGGATTCTAAGAACAATCATTTTGTTCATTTCTAAATAAATTACAAAAATTAACAATTGAGGGATTTTTTTTAACCTTTTCCTAGGCAAAGGCCTTTGCTATGGGAACATGATTAACAGGCTGGCTTGTAACCTGTCCTCAGAACAAATTAAGAGTAAACAAGACCAAAGGGAGAACAAATTAAGAGTAAACAAGACCAAAGGGACAACCACAGCCTCCAACATGATTTAAGCTCTGGTAACTACAGGTCTTTAGGGCAGCTGTACTCCTGCCATCTAGCTCTAAGATCGTGGGGCACAGTTTCGTACCTACCCAGAAATGGATGCCAAGGGCATGAGTTGGCAGGCAGGCAGGAAGATCTTTTGACAGGAATCACTCCATGTGTTAGGGAAGTGGATGAAAGCTGAGGGGAATATAAATAAGATTCTAGAATAAAGGCAGTGGCAGGATTAAAGAGAAGTCTTAGGAAGGGTTCTCATATTTCTGAAGTATCCAAGTTCACTAGGTGAGGACCAAAGTATAGTCTGCAACTTTGAACAAAAAATTTAAGTAATTACATTAGTACCTACATGCCAGAGTTAAATCCCTAGCAATACTGTTAATATTAGATGTTGTAAAGAATGAGTTGGAAAGTCTGTAGCTATTCAGACACTGAAGTCAAAGGAAGAAACTCTATCCGTACAATAATGAACTGAGAAGCCAAAATACCACCCTCATAAACCCTTGACCATAAATTTCTGTAATTTGTGCTCTCATTTAGCTGAAATTATATTTATTCTAACTTACTGACATTGTTGTTTAGGTATGCCTACATTGTAAAAAAATGCTGATTAGTTATTTAAGCTAAAACTTCTAGAACCCTCACCAAGTTTACTATTTAAAACCCTTAGTGTAAAAGATTTCTACAATCCTCCAAAGTAATGTAAAGTCCACTACTTTTAGTTTTCTAATTTATATTTCCTGAAATATTAATGATCAGATGTCCCCAACTACTAAAGAAAATATAGTATGATCTGGTTTCCCAAAATTGAAACATGACTAATAAAAATAAAAAACTGTATTTACACAAAACAGCCTGAAAAATTAAAAACAATGGTGAATCCTAGGTCCTAAGGGGGAGAGAAAAACTGCATCATAAATAAGCTCAAATTGAGATTTTGGAATTTTTGTCTCGTGCCCCGTGCTATTTATTACCATATTTTAAAAACAATTACGTTACAAAGAAGAGGATTTATCATCTGCATTTCTTCATTCAGGCGAGCTTGGCTTTCTTCTTACCAGGTCCTTTATGCCCTTTGGCCTTTCTTCTTAAATTCCGCCTGTCTACAACAGGTACTTCCACTTCTATTTCCTCTGAGCTGCTATCCACAGTTTTTTCTGCTGATTGTGTAAACTGATCCAGTTGCTCAGAAGATGCTTCAGACTGCTCCTCTGACTGGTTCTTCTGTCCTGCATTCTGTGAAAATGGCACATCTTCAAGTTCAACCTCTATTAAAGAACTCTGAGGAAGAGCTGTAGATGTTTCCTGGGGTTCGGGTACCCCCTCTTCACCCTGGTCTTCCAATGAGGAAGTAGTGTTGGGTGATAAATTTTCAGAGATTGATTCTTCAGACAATTCAGCTATTACAGAGTTTGGAAAACCACTGTCAGACCGTTCTTCATTTGGGATAGTAGCAACATTGTCTAAACTTCCAAAATGTGCCTTCTTTCTTGAAACTAGTGGCGGTTTCTCTTCTGTGTGCCCCTTTTCATCAGATGGACCTTCCTCTAGCAACATTTCTGAGTCAGTTACATGCGAGGTCTAAAAATGAAAGACCTGGTGAACAAACTTTTGCAATATAGTTCTTATACAAATTATGTTCAGAAACTAGTATGTAACAACAATGAACTACATTTTAATCATTACTCACTCACTACTTTAGTTAATTGTGTACATATTCTGAATACAGCTCAATTTCTTCAAAATTGTCTTTCTGATTTTTGATAATTTGGATACATTAAGTTCTTGTTTTAAAGATATAATAAAAAGAAATAATTTTACCTCAGAAAGTACTAAAATATTTTAATCTTCATATCAAGATTCTTCAAAGTCATGATTCAACTCAAAAGTTTTTACCTTCTTGGTGTTACTGGAGCCAGAACCAAGAGCCCCTTGGGACTTGACACTGTGCCACCCAACTAAATGTGACTGCGGTTTAGTTAGATAACCGGTATGGGAAATGGAAATTTTATTCACTTATTTATGTAAGATGCTAATAAAATAATGCTATACAATAGGTTTTTAGCCTTAAATTGAAATATTCAAAATAAAAATTTAAATTTCTTTTAAAATATTCCATCAAGTTTTTCCGACTAATCTAATCCATCTCCCTAATTAAAACAAATTCAAATGACTGTGTAAGCACTAGGTATTCAGATAGTTGATAAATACTTTTTATCCATTTTTCTAATCTCTCTACAAAATAAAACTCATTTAGTAAGACTAATAAGGTTACAAAGATTTGAATTTATGGAATATTACTGATTGCACATTGTAAACTCTAGTCTAAAATTTAATTTTCCTAAAGGACTGTGCATGTTAAGGTGGAGGAAAACACACATGCTACACTGCCCCCTCCAATGTCACCAACACTGGAATATATTAACTATAAAAATTTAGGTTACTTCCCTCTTACCTTTTCCTGTGCAATAGCCTCAGAGGGTTTTGAAGATTCTACCATCAGTGGAACAAGATTTGTAGAGTCTTCACTGGAATTGAAAGACTGCAATTTTAATTCTTCATCTAAAACTTCACTAGTGGAGTCTTCCTCTTCAGTTATAAGAGAGGTCTTAAGACTATCATCCATTATCTCACCATTCATAGGCTCTAACTCAGATTCCTACACCATTGGGAGAAAAAAAATAAGTCAGGACACAATTACAGACTAAGTTGTTTGTCATGCAAGGTGGATCCATTCTCAGTACCTATCTGTCACGTACCAGGACTCAAGTTAAAATCTACCAAATTAGAGGGCAGGGGTTAGAGAACAGTCTTACTGGGGGAAGGGGGAAAGGAGAAACTTATGAGGCAAGGTCAGTAAAAGAAAATCCTTAAGTGCCTTCAAGCTCCCCGTTCTCATGGAGAGAGGGGACAGAACCCAGATGCACAGTGGACACAGTGTGGGACTGAGATTCAGTAACAAGACCCTGCCCCTTCTTGCTCCCCCTTCTTATAGGGCAACCATGGGAGGAACCTTTTCAGTAATAAGGTATCCGAGAGAAAGTCTAGGTGTAGGGCTACCTCTTTACACAACACCAGCACTTGCTATCTTTGGGGCCTGTGGGAAGTTACAGTTACCCTGCCAGAGGGAAGAAGCACTAGCAATCTTGGTGAGCTAAGTTTGCCTATAGCTTCTTTCGGGGAGAAAGAGCCCCCAATCTCAGTTCATTGTCGAGTCAACCCAGGGTCATTTTTGACCACTCCTGCTTCTTACAGTGTATTAAAATATAGAAAAGTAATCTGATAACAGAAGTGCCAATTCCTGCAAACCTTCTTCCAATGTTTATCAATTTACAACACTTCTGTTTAATGTTTAATATTTCTAATCCTAGTGACATTATAATGGAAGGCATTTTATTATACCATTTTAAAAATAAGAAAACTGATGTACTCAAATGTTCAGAAATAGATCTGCCTGGATTATATAGAACCCCTGAAATCATATAAATAACCTTTTCCATAGGGAAACTGAAATCAGGGAGTTGGAAGAATTAATGTGACAGATAGTATAAATGGCTTACACACAGAAGGGAATCACAATAAAACTCATAAAAAGACCAACTAGGGTAAGAGAAATGTTAAAAAAGAAGGTTAAGAAAGTACATGAGAAAGATAGAGAAAAGCTTAAACAAACAGAATTTTGGTGACTAAAAGTAAGAAACAACAGAAGAGAAAACCCAGTCCAGTCAGTTTTTGTTTGGAGGAGAACGAAAGATCAGCAGAAAAAAGTCTCAATATATAAGTGAAAAGACTAGAGATTATGTTGAATTTAAGATGAAAAAAGACAACTGTCTGAACAGAAATATTAAGAAGGCAAGTAGCATTATGAGACTATACTTTGAATAAATATTGAAAGTCTAGAGTTACTGGTCATCCCCTTATTGAGCCACTGGACTGAATGCATTTTCAAAAGAGAGAGCATATAAACAAAGAGCAGAAAGAACTGTCTTTTAGAATGTCCAAAAAAGGGGGGGGGGGGCAGAAGTCAAAATAAATAAATAAATAAAACTAACAAAACTTCAAAGATAGGAAAACCAAGAAACCAAAATACAGGACTTCCACCAAGATGGAGGCGTAGGTGAAGACACTTTGCGTCCTCGCACAACCAAATCTAAAAACAACAAAGTTTTAACAACAATAAATGCAGCAACCAAACCACAGAAAATCGAACAATACGTAGTCCGAAAACAACAAACCGCTCAGCTAAACCAGTGAGAGGGGCAAAGCGGGCAAAAAAGATCCCCCAACCTGGGTGTTGCGCAAGCAGCCAAGGGCACGGATCCCAGGTGCAGGCTACCTATGGGCAGACCCAGGGAAGAGGCACGGCTGGCTGTCTGCGGTCAGTCACGCATTTGAGCACAGATAAACCAGTGAAGAGACATGCATTGAGACAAACCGTGCAGGCCCCGGTGCAGGACAGTCCCAGGACTGGCAGCCACCACCTTTTCCCACCATGATCCCTCACCACTGGCCACCCACTCCACTCCTCTTACCGGTCTGGTTGAATGGTTATCAGACTTCCATACAATCCAATTTTCTGTCCGTTCTGGTTGTGTTTTTGTTTCTAAATCTTTGTTGTCCCTAATTTTGGTTGTGCGAGGAGACACAGTGTTGCTACCTACACCTCCATCTTGGCCAGTCTTTTTTTTTTTTTATATAATTTTTCAGTTTTAGTTTATATTCAGTTTTACTCTGTATTAGTTTCAGATGTACAGCAAAGTAGTTTTAAAAATCACATACTTTACAGAATGGTCCCCCTGGTGCTTCACGTACCCACCTGGCCCTACTCATGTTTTTCACAATATTACTGACTATATTTCCTATGCTATACTCTACATCTCTGTGACTATTCCATAACTACCAATTTGAACTGCTTAATTCCTTCACCTTTTCCACCCACTCCTCCTAACCCCCTCTCCTCTAATGACTATCAGTCTGGTCTCTGTATCTATGAGATGGAGTAAAGTTCATTTGATATGATACTGAAAGTTCAGTTTACAGCTTTTAGGCCACAGCTTTTTATTTTGTTCATTAGATTCCACATATAAGAGCAATCATATGGTATATATCTTTCTCTGTCTGAATTATTTCACTTAGCACATTACCCTCTAGGCCCATCCATGCTGTTCAAAAAGGTAAGATTTCCTTCCTTTTTATGGCCAAGTAGTATTCCATTGTGTAAATGTATCACAGCTTTTTTGTCCACTCACCTACTCATGGACACCTGGGTTGCTAGACCATATTCTTATACCATATATGAGAATAAACTCAACATGGACTACAGACTTAAATGTAAGACCCAAAACCATAAAACTCCTGGAAGAAAACATATGCAGTAGAATCTCACTCATTTCCCTTAGTAATATGTCTTTTGATGTATCTCCCCAGGCAAGGAAAACAAAAGAAAAACAAGTAAGAACATCAAACTAAGTGCATGCGCAAAGATATTAGCCAATGATACATCTGATGACGGGTTAATATTCAAAATTAATAAAGAACTCAGACAACTTAACACCAGAAAAACAAACAAGTCAATTTCAAAATGGGCAGAACACCTGAATAGATACTTCCCCAAAGAAGACATACTAATAGCTAAGAGACATATGAAAAATTGTTCAGAGTGACTACTCATCAGAGAAATGCAAATCAAAACTACAGTAAGATACCACCTCACACGTGTCAGAATAGCATCAGTAACCAACAAACAAGTGTTGGTGAGGATGTGGAAAAAAGGAACTCTAGTGCACTACAGGTGGGAATGCAGATTGGTACAGCCACTGTGGAAAACAGTATGGAGTTTCCTTAAAAAATCAAAAATAAAACGGCTTTATGACCCAGCAATTCCACTTCTGAGAATATATCCAAAGAACCCCAATACTAAATCGAAAGAATGTATGTACACATATGTTCACTGCAGTATTATTTACAATCACCAAGATGTGGAAGCAACCCATAAATCTTTTTAAAAATGCCCTTTATTTTTCCAATTTTCTACAAGAAAAGAAAAAAATGCCATTTAAAAATATAGTTTCAAAAGTAGAAGAAGCTGAATTGGTTTTAGTTAAAAAAGTAAAATTGGTAATGTAGTTTCTCTATCTAGTTTAGCTACTGGCTGGACCGGGCAAACAGGTAAAGAGTTTTTAAAGAAACTTAAGCACATATGAGAGCAAAAATAAGAAATCTGTAAAAAAAGAAAAAGATTAACGATATCAAAGGAAAAGAAGAGGAGGACAGGAAATGAATAAAGAAGATAAAAGAAGATAGAAGCAAATACTTAAGGAGCTCAAAAAATATCAAGCCAGATTTTCTAGTATTTAAAAAAAATTAAGTTAGTTTTTTCCCCCAGAATTTGTTCATCAGCTAGGGTTGAATTTGAATACCTGATGGAACTTAAGGTATTCTAACTGGTTCTATAAGACAGACATCATTTGTATCACTTCTTAAGTATGTTTAATTCCAAAAATTAATTTATGTTTTAAATGTACTGAGGTACCTTACTACTTAAACTATGTCTACTTTATCTTTGTTGTGAGACAAACTTTTCATAAACTCTTTGAAATATAAAATTATACCTGTAACTTTAGCCTTTCCCCAAATCTAGTACCTGAATTTGTTTAATACAGATATTTACTTTTTAACATTTAAACACTGTTTCTACTACAATTCTAAAGTATTTAATTATATTTATCTAACAATATATGATTAAGAAAGTTAAAATTTAGTTTATTTCCACTCATTTTATTTAGTGTGTGATCTCTAACCTTTTCACCATCTTGCTTCTCCAAGTGTGGCTGGATTTCAGGTGCTGAATGAGCATCTTTATCACCACTTCCATCCTCAAATTCAATCACACTCTGTTCGTGTTCTTCCTCTAGGAATTCTTCTGAGCTCTCTGATGTGTGTGCAGTTGACTCCAATCTAGAAAATGAAAGAAAACCATTTTTGCTTACTTGCTTTTTAAAAGATGAATATGAATTTCAAAAATCTGTTAATAAAAAATATTTGACAGAATCAACTATTTGAGAGAATCATTTGAGTGTTGTTCAGTCAAGAACTTCAAATTTTATAGGTCCAAAACCAATCTCTTCATCCTACAAATCTATCTGCTTTCCTACTTCATTCTCCAGTTCAAATCATAATACCCCCCTCTTTTTAATCATGTAAAATAGACTTCTGTTTTACTCTAACCATATCTATCACATCTTATTCTATTAGAATGAATGTGCATCCTAGTTTACCTGGGAAAGTCCAGTTTATAGCTTTTAGCCCAGCACTCACATATTATAATGCCCCTTTCCTTCTCAAAAATATCAGTTTGGGCCATAAATGACATGGTTTAGTTCTACCTCCAAAATGCCTTTCAAACATATCCCTAACTTACTATTCCCATTTTCAGGCCCCAATCTTCCCTGGAGAATTCTCACTGTACCTTCTTCCCAAATTCATCTTAATACTTGTTCTTTAGTCAGGTTTTCAGAGCTGTTTCTAACAAACATCTGTACTTTTAACAGCATTTTGTACTTCATTACTGTACCATCACAATCCACCTCGCAGTGCTCTTAACCTGTGCCACAGACCGATACATGTATTAGGAACCATTAGGCACTCTTAGAGGGCAAAGATGAAATTATATTCTTTGTACTGTCTGACTAAGCATTCCAAGCATTTACCCTTACTGGTCTGTTTTGTTTATGAAAAGCAAACAAAATTCTACATCATTCTGAGATGTTCATTTTAAAATACAGCCCTGACCAGTGTGGCTCACTTGGCTGAGCATCAGACTGCAACGTGAAAGATCACTAGTTTGATTCCTGGTTCGGGCACATGAGTGGGTTGCAGGCCTAGTCCCGGTTGGGGTGTGTGCAAGAGGCATCCAATCCATGTTTCCTCTCACACATCAATGTACCTCTCCCAGTCTTTTTCCCTCCTTTCCCCCTTTCTCTAAAAATAAACAAGCAAAATCTTAAAAAAAATAAGTAAAATGCATTGTTACATTTCCTTCTAAAAAGGGTATTATATCAAAAGGTTGCTCAGTGAGAAAACCATAATTATCTAAACTCTTACTATTCTTTTCACAAATTACTAGATTTAAATATTTACTTATATTTGCCTTTACCATTAATTTTTCACAAAAATAAAACATTTATATACTTACTTAACTCCACAAATGCAAAATTATTTACATAACAAAATTAGAACAGCTACAGAATTTTCTACCTAAGTAAAGTAATTTCACAGCTAAAATGGCAAAGCTATGAATGAATGGCTGACTCCAGAACAGTTGTAGGACCAGTAGGGCAAAAGTATAATTTTATTATAAAATTAAAAATTTTGCTTTTTATAAGGTTCGAAGGGAGATAAAGGATAAAGTTTTAACTCAAGTGTTCTGTTGATTAAGAGGAGCTGATTGCACCATTTATGGTTATCACCAATTTATGCTATATGTAGTAACCCAGTGAAAATGAATCATTTATAATGTAAAATAGAGCATTTCTAAAGTTGACCACAGCTCAGCATTTACTATAAGCTACAGCTACTGTCACATTCAAAATTGGTGATAACAACACATCTGGGATAATCAATTGAATATCCTGGCTTTTCATACCTAATAGATTACATCACAAGCAACTTTTCCCTTAACATTGTCAAAGTGACACCACTGATAAGTGTAATCAATAATCTTGTAAGAGAATTCAAATACAAACTCCTATACCAAGGTCATTTGTTACACAAATAATATAATAATAGCCTCCACCTTAAATAGTAAATATTAATAGTATGAAAACAAGAATAAACAAAATAACAGAAGTGAACTAAACAATACTTGTTTACTGAAGACGTAGGTGAAGTCTGAGGTGTCCTTTCATCTTCGCCTTGAGAGCTACTAAATTCAGAATCCTGAAACCGCTTTCCAATCTTTGGCCGCTTCAGATGACTACTTCGAGTACGAGTAGAAACCGGTGTCTTATCGTGACCTGAAAAAAAAAAAGTGAAGCTACAATTAATTGATTGTGCATTCAAAGAGTTGCCTATTAAAATACACAGAAACGCAAGAACTATTCTAGTTCACATATCCCCACAATTACATACTTCCTTTCTCCCACATCAGATTAGACACAATGCCAGTATCTTTCTCTAAATTATGAAATAACTTTGTCAATATTCATTCCCCACATTTCCATGTTACCTTGAGCTTTGCAAGGTGTTTCTGCATTTTCATTTATTTTCTCTCCCAATAATCTTGGGGAGTAAACAAGGTAGATGTTACTGCCCCCCCATTTTACAGGTAAGACAACGAGGAAAAGAGAGGTCCCATATCTCACTCTGTTCACACAGGAAAATCAGTGGAAGCAGAGGCATTAGAACTCACATCTAGAATTTAGGGCTACTCAAGTCTTCACTTACTCTACGGAATACTCAAACACACACACCCCTATTTCTAAGTGTCTCGAACACTTTCTGATAGATCAGCTGAATTTCTTACCTTCAGAAGTACTTGCAAAGGCATCTTTTAGAGAATCAATCTAAAACAGAGATATAGATTAAAACCACAAGTTTTAGATCAACTTTTTCTTCCTATAGATCTACTCCTTCAGTGCCAAAGGAAATATTTTACAATGTTTTTTAAATAGCACTCTTTGCACTCACTACTAACCAATTAAGAAAACCTACTTAAGATGTAAAAAAAGCTATGTTATAGCCTCAGTTTATTAATGAGACTCAGAAAGTATCAAGACATCTCGTATGTTACACTGGTAAATACTGGAGCTGCCAGGATTCTATCCTCAGCTACCTTCTCTTCAGTCAACATGCTTCCCCTTTAATTTTATCTACGGCTTTCACGTCAATGTTTATCTGCTGATGAATCCAAACATACAATTTAATCTCCCCAACCTCTTTCCTGATTTCCAAAGCTCTATTCCAAATAAAATAACTCCCCAGTGGATACCCCATCCAATTTCATATCCAACCTGTCCCAAACTGAGTAGTAGTATTTAATAACCTTTTCCCAATATTATTCCCTACCTTGGTTAAATGGTAGTAACAGTTCAGTCAGCCATTCTAACCAGAACCCTGAGAGTTCTTCCTATCCCTCCATCAATCATGCAACCACAAAGCATGTCAATTTTGACTTTGAAGAATCTTTCAAAACTGCCCCAAAACTAAAGCACTGGAAATTTGTATTGCCGATGCTTCAGTTCAGGCCTTTACCATCTTTAACATGAACCGTTCTAATGGCCTCCTCACTGGTATCCCTCACACTAATCACAATGGCCTACAATCCTCTCCACCCTGATAACAGTGATGCTTCCAAATTACAAATTGCACCACTCCTTTTTTTAAAAAAAGAAATTAATGGCTTATCACTGCCTAGAATACAAACCCTCAACTTCTCCAATACCAAATACTCTTCCAATCAAACATGCTGTTTTCTTTCACACCTGTGCATTTTTGCACATGCGATCCCTTGGAATGTCCTAGCAACACTTGGACAGAACTCCCACCCACCCTTTTAAAGTCACCTCAAATTGATATTTTAAGCATATTTTAAGTAATATCAAACAAATTCTAGGAAAGTATCTGGTAAATCCAGTAATGGGACCTGCCCTTTTGATTTCAAGCTACCTAGTATCTGCAAAATGCATTTCATTCTACAGAGGCCTAGCACACACTCCTTTGAACTCAGCTTCAAACTTCCCACAATAACTTCATAACCTTTGGCCTATTACTAATTCCACATCTAGAAACTTATCTGTGCAAGGAAATAACTACTCGTGTACAAGGATGCATGTATAAATTTGTTCATTGCTGGGCCTTTACAAATGTAAACTTAGTAACCATTTAAGATGCCAGAAACCTAATACGATAGAAATTATGTAAGTTTGTTGAATGAACAGTAACATTTGAAAAATTAAATATTGGCTAAATCTATTTTAAAGACACAGTAGAATTATCTCCTACAATAAACATACAGTGTACCTACAGTTAGCTGCATCTCACTAGACTGACTGTCTTCAGTTCTTGCTTCATATTCTGGAACAGATGCAAGACCATATTCTCCAGACATAGGTCTTTTGGCTTCACTTGGAGAAAGTGCTGTGTGTAGAAGAATTTTAAAAATTGTAACCCTATCAGTATTTGGTTTTAATTATAACATTGGTCTGATTGTCACAAAATCCCTGCAGAGCACCCTGAATGGAAAGGTGTTGAAAATCTAGGTGTGGGGTATCCCCTTCACCAATATCTTATAATTAAACCTTGCAATTAAAAAGAACCTTAAATAGTTATCTGTATTTTGTGACTTTGAGGACAGGTGCATGAGATTAGGGACTACCTCTGATCCCCTGGTGCCTATTCTACACTGTTTCAGGAATCTCTGTTTTTGTCTTAGCCACCAATTCCTACTGCACTGTTACATTCTGCTGGACTATTCTTAGTGACTCAATTGTTAATACATAACAAAAAAATCATACTTTAGAAAAGAGGGTCTGTTACTAGACGGATCACATTACTATGCACCACTACTCTAGACGGTAAGACACAACTGTCCTCAGGCATTGATATTTTTAAGCAGGACAAGTGCTGAAACTAAAAACACCCTTACCTGTAATTTTAAGTGTCTCTCTCTGTAATGCTCTGGTGATGGGTATTCGCTGGCACCAGTGTCCAACACCCTCAACTTCCCACAGGAGTTCATGGTCTCCTGGATACTTTTCAAAGTATTGCTTGCAAGCTGAAAAACACATTTAGAATTTTCTTGAAATCCCAAATATCAGTTGCTTTAGAAAACAGAAAGAAGATGAAAAGCTGCCAACTTACTTAATGGGCTAGCATAACTTTGATACCAAAACACCAAGGCAATTCAAGGAAAGAAAATTATACAGTTGTCTCATTTTAATAAAAGTCCACATTAAAGCTTTAACATTACCAAATAAAAATCTTAATAAAAGATGTGTTTAACTTTTAGAAAATTACTAAATTTTACTAATGATATAAAAAAATTGAATAAAAGGACTGTTAGACTCATAGTGTAAAAACACCAATCCTTTCCAAATTATTTTGTAAATTGATACAATCCTAAACAAAATCCCAAAAGAATTTCTTTTTCAACGGAACTTTACAAAACTTGATTCTAAATTAAAAATGAGAGAACAAAGGTTTAAAAAAGTAGAAAGGGAAGTTCCACTGAGATGAGTTCCCTTTCATCTCCTTTGTCCATTTTTTAGTTGGGCTATTTGTATTTGCCTTTTCAATTTGTAGGCATTCTTCATATAGCAGAGCTATGAGCTATCAATAGCCATAATGTTACAAATGCTTTTCATAGTCTATATTACTTGGGTGTTGTGTTATGCTATCTTTTGTAACATAAATCTTTTTCTGTTTTTTCAAATAAAGTTGAATCTCATTTCCTCTTGGGGGAAAAAAAAGAATATCAAGGCCAGTGTTGAAGAAAAAAATAAGGAGGGCTTTACCCTAGTAGATATCAAAAATCATAAAGACATAGTAATTCAAACAACCTAGTATTAATATAAGAATATGGCAGTAAAGGAGGAAGAACGAGAGGAAGAGAAAAAAGAGGAGGAAGTAAATGAGAAAGAAGAAGAAAAATTAAAATACCAGGATACCAGGTAAGAACCGCACATACACTAAAAACTTGGCAAATGACAGAGGAGGTATTGTATCTCATCAGAGAATGAATAAAGCTATTAAAATAATGATGCAAGAATAAAAATCCACACAGAAAGCAAAGTCAGATCTTGACCTCACATCAATGTCATTCATAAAAGTAAATTCTGGATATGTTCCAAGACCTATTATGAAAAGCAAAATGTTTAAAAGAAAACCTAAGAGAATACTTCTGGAACATTATAGTACTAAACAATTTCTTATAAAAGATACAAAAAAATCATAATTTACAGTAAAGTATTATAATGAAGCTGACTGCTAACATTTAAAACTTCAGGACTATGCAACAGAATTTTCTGTAATGATGAAAAGGTCCTATATTCAGTCCTCTATACTGGATAAAGGTCCTACATCCAATGTAATAGTCACTAGCCACATGTGGCTACTGAGCAACGGAATTTTTAATTTCATTTAATTTTAATTAACTTAAACTGGTATCTATTTTATTTTAGTGGCTGTTGCACTGGACTTCATAGTTTTATAATAAAAAGATACCATATAACAGACACTCAGAATAAAATAAGGGATTAGTAATCCATTCATATAAAAAATTCCTGAAATTGAAATAAAAGACAATAATCCCCCCTCCCCACAACTGGCACAGGCTATGAACGAGAAATTCACATATAATGAAACTTGATGGTCACTATACAAAGATAAAGGATTCAAACCTCAATATCTGCCAAAGAAATATAAGATGAACAACAAGATACCACTTTCACACCCATAATATAACAAATAACAAGCATGAGAAGAGTAAGGGAAATGGACTCTGCTGGTCTCAGAAGAATTCTGCAACAATTAGTAAAGTTGAGAAGACATGTTTTACTGATCCAATTCTCCTTTTAGGTATATAGCAGCCTAACGACTCAGACATATACAAAAGAACATATTTATAATGTTCATTACAGTACTGTTTCTATACGGTAGGGGTACAATCTAAGTGCCTATAATATGTATACCATAAAATACTATACAGCAGCTACAACAGATAAAACTATACCTACAGATATTAACAGATAAATCTAAAAAATTTTAAAAAGGTCAGCAAAAAAGCAAGTCAGTGTATGTACAAAACAGCATCATTTATGTAAAGTTTAAAAACACATTAAACAAAATGATGCAGCCCCTGTGGAAAACAGCCAAACACAGAACTACCCTGTAACCCAGCAATTCCACTCTCAGGAATATATCCAAAAGCAGGTGCTCAGACAGCTATCTGCACACCAATGTCCATAGGAGGATTATTCATAATAGCCGAAAGGTAAAACAACTCATGCATCCATCAACAGACGAATGAATAATGAAATGTGATGTGCACACAATAAAAATCTACTCAGCCATAAAAAGGAATGAAATTTTGATAAATGCTACAACATGAAAGGACTTTAAATATTATGCTAAGTGAAATTAGACAGACACTGAAGGGCAAATGTTGTATGATTCCACTTATACAAGGTACCTGGAATATGCAAGGTCACAGAGACAGAGAACACAAAAGTTACCAGAGAACAGGGGCAGGGAAAAACAGGGAGCTACTATTTAATGTTACGGAGTTTATGTTGGGAGTGATAAAAAAAATTCTGGGGTATGGATAGTAGTGAAGGGTATATAAGTATTATGAATATGACTAATGCCATTGAATTAATTGTATACCTACGAATGATTAAAATGATAAATACTATATTATGTGTACCTAATTACAAAAACATGCTTTAAAATTTTTAAATAAAAAAGCACACAAAATAATGTGCTATAGCATTTATGAACATAGACATAAGCATAAAACCACTGGCAGGAAGGATATACACCAACTGCAGGAATGCAATTATCTTGGGAAACTAAGAAGAAGGGGGAATGGGATTAGGGAGGGGTCCAAAAAGAACATTAACTGTATCTACAATGTTTTATCTAAATTTCCTTAAAAATAAATGAAAACAAACATGGTAAAATCCCAGTGTTCATTCATCTGTATAATGGATACATGGACAGGAAGATACTGTTCTCTCATTTTTTCCCCTATACACTTAAAACTATTTCTCATGTTTTCTGATTTTAGTTTTCATACCTGCTAGGAAGGGAGAAGTTGGAGGAAAAAACAACACAACAAGCCAAACTGAGTCCTCTGCCTGAATCAAAATGACTGAAACAGTAAAGACTATCCACATAATAAGTCTGAGGTCCGAAGGGAGTACTTAACAAAAGGTGACTCAAGTTGCAAGTCCAAATTCAGATGTGTCTAGCCAGAGAGTCATAGTCAGAAAAAGAGAACTCCTACACTTATACCACTCAGCTAAGTGATCCAGACCTACAGAAATATAAATATACACAATATGATATATTAATAGATTAAGGGTTAGCAAACTTTTTCTTAAAGGGACAAATAATAAATACAAGCTTGCAGGCTGTATGGTCACTATCATAACTAACCAATCCTGACATTTTAGTGCAAAACAAGCCACAAACAAAATGTGGATGAGCATGGCTCTGTTCCAATAGAACTGTATTTACTAAAATTGTTAACAGGCCAGTGGACCATGGTTTCCTGACTCCTGATATAGATACGAATGCAATTCAATGCAAAAATTAATTATTCAATAAATTATATCATGGCAACCAGACATCTGTCAGGTAAAATAAACTTGGATCTGTACCTTACATGGTACACACCAGGATAAACTCCAAATGAATAGAACATTCACAAAATCTTATTTATTCCATGTCTTTCGGTATACAGTCTATAGTGCTATATAAATCGACTTCCCATAGTTAGCTAAACACCTACTCTAGGCTGAGACCAAGCCCAATCATACTCGGCATTCATTACCCACTTTTGGAACGAACAAATTATCTCTATTTTTAAAAAGGGCTTACAATGTAAAATATTACTATCTTTTCTAAAATGCTGAAAAATATTCATGGAAACAAATGAAGGTCATCCAAGAACTTTTGGGTATATAGCAATACCAAGGAGTCATTACGTTGAAAGCAAAAATCAAATGGAAATCCAAGCCCTTCAAAGATAATAAGCATTGCACAGAAGAGAGAAGAGCAAAAAACAGAAAATGATGGAAAAGCCACATAGTCTAAAAACTTCTAAACATATTCCTTTATTTTCACATTTCAAATTGTATTCACAAAATTATACAAATGACACCAGGAAAGCTCCTATCTAACTGAAAGAAAAGAGCTCAAGTCTTTATGCAAAGACAGATTAGCTGACATTCACCCATAACTCATGTGCTTTTCAATTGCTTTTCAATTAGAACCTTGGATAAGAGTAAGTCTTAAGAGATTCTTCCTGCAGCGAGGATGTGTTTGCATTCCTCCCCAAATGCAGTAAAGCAATAATTAGACTTTAAGGGGAAAATCTATTTTCAGATTATCAAAGGGTATACAGAGTTCACTCTATTCTCACGATTCAAAATGGGGATGTCACACTCGGGTCTTGTTTTCTAGATTATTAGTATTAAAAAGAGGGAGGAAGCTTAGAAAATATATTTTTAGTGGAAATATACACCCGACGTTAGAGTAAAATCAGTGGTACATTGTGGCAGACCCTGGCCAGCAGAGTCCACCTGTTGTGGCTTACGACGAGAATGAATGCACAGGTGACAACAATCCTGTGGAGATAAAGGGAACAGCATGACTACTCTCTCAAGGGGAGAGTGCCTGTGGGTGCCTCGGCCACTCCCTCAAGAGGGGAACTCGCCTCGACCCTTGCCTAGACAGGCTTCTATATTTTCCTGGGGTCTTACATCAAAGAAAGATTTATTATCTGTCACATAGAATATTATTGTCTATGTTCTTAGGTACAATCAAGGAAATAAAAATAACATGCAAAGGGGGATGGCAATGAGCTGATTAGCTCTGTCCTTGGGAGAACTCACACAGGCTTTGGAAATTACCTTGAAGATAGACAATATATATCTGCTGCTTTAGACCAGGGTGAGGGAGTTTTAGCAAGAGCAAGCCATGATAATCTGTATGCATTTTCTAGGCCTGATTCCCATGGGAAAACTAGGTTTGAAGGTCTGGCTCCTGCCCACCACTTTCCATCTGTAGGTTTTCCATACAGAGCTGAGTCACATTTGCCAGGCCAAGACAAACCAGTCCCCTACAGCACACTATATTTTATAAAACTTTTCAAATAAATTACTTTCCAGAATTAAATCTTACTATATTAAAGCAATAGTAGTTGCATGGACTTTATACAAGTGCAAAAATAAATCCACTAATAGTTTTTAAAACATCTCTATAGGGCATAGCTCTACAATACCAAACAGCATTCAAAATGAACAACATAAAGCTTTGTGGATCCACATCAATGAATCTCATGAGTAAAGAAAGTAACTACAGAAGAATTCATACAGTACCTTTCATTTATGTAAAGATTTTAAATATTTTAAAATTACATTATTGAAGGATACACACATATGTATTAGAAATGCATGAATAAAAGCCAACCCTTCTACAGATAAGAGTGACCTTCCAAACTTCTCTAAATGAGACCACTCATTATCTCAGCAATTATTAACTGAGTGCCTATAATGTTCTAAGTTTTATACTAAGCACTGGAGATACATTCAAAATACATAAGTCATTATTTTAAAAAAGGCATTTCCAGTTACTAAAAACCTTGCATATATTATAATCATAAAAACTAAAACACAAAGAAAAAATGACAAACTGAAGACAATGCTTATTTCAAAGAAGGGAGCAGTTAACTGGGTAGCAGTACAACTATGTTGGCAATGATACACTTCTCATGGATGGTATACATGCTGGTGGTACATAAGCATTTACCTTATTTTTTATAACTTTTTGTATGTCTAAAATTTCTTTTTCTTTCATGTAAAAGCTACCGCAGACAACACAAAGAAAAAATGGCCAAATAATCTAACTAGACACTTCTCCAAAGAAGATGTACAAATGGCCAATAGGCATATGAAAAGCTGTTCAACATCAACTACAAATCAAGGCCCTGGCTGGCACAGCTCAGTGGACTGAGTACAAGGTTGCAAACCAAAGGACTGCCAGTTCAATTCCGGGTAAGGACACGTGCCTGGGTTGTAGGCCAGACCCCCAATGGGGGCCATGTGGGAGGCAACCACACATTGATGTCTCTTTCCCTGTCTCTCTCCCTGTGTTCTCCTCTCTCTAAAAATAAATAAATAAAATATTTTAAAAAATACAAATCAAGCCTATGAAAGGCCATTTCACACCCACTATGGTGACTGTTATAAAAAAAAAAGCAGATATGTTAACTAGTGTTGGCCAGGACATGAAAAAATTGTAACCTTCATATATTACTTATGGGAATGTAAAATGGTCCAGGTGCTTTGGAAAACAGTTTAGCAATTCCTCAAAATGTTAAACATAGAGTCACCATATGACCCAACCATTCCAAATCTAAGTATAGAGTATACGCAAGAGAAATGTCCACACAGAAACTACACAAAAGTTCATAGCAGCGTAATTCATAGTAGCTAAAATGCAGAAACTATTTGAAAGTCCATCAGTTGATGATGGATAAACAAAATGTGGCATATCCATACAATGGAATGTTATTCAGCCATAGAAAGGAATGAAGCACTGATTAATGCTTGTAGCATAGATGAATCTTGAAAACATTCATGCAAAATGAAAGAAGCTAGACTCGAAGGGCTTAAATATAATTAAATCACATGGGTCCATTTACATGAAATGTCCAGAATAGGTAAATCCAGAGACAGAAAACAGAGCTTTGGTTGCTAGGGAGTAAAGAAATGGAGGAATGGAGAGTGACTGCTAGTTGATGCAGTTTCTTTTGGGGATGAGAATGTTCTGAAATTAGTGGTTATGGTTGTATAGCTATGAATATACTAACCACCACTGAACTATATACTTTAAGAGGGTGAATTATATGGTATATAAATTATAGTTCAATTTTTTTAAAGCTACTATATCCCCCAAAAGTCATATATGTGAGATAAGGACATATTTGCAAAACTAAGCCCTAGGCTGCCAAAGAATCAAAATATACTTAATACTGACATATGCACACTTAAAATATCCTGCAGAAACAAGTCCAAAGTGACACTGAGACAAATTTAACATTTTTAACTTAATCAATTTACCTGTGTACATTAGAGAAGATAGTGGATACCGCAAACCAAGTGCATCTTCTGTAAAGGAATCAACAAAGTCCTCCAGCATATGAAGCCCAAAATCTTTGCTTCGGTATTTCTTTCTTATAAACATTGTATCAAGAACTGGTAGTTGGTAGTTTTGGGTAAGAAATGAGGTACACACACTCCCTGCAATCATAAGAACAGAAAGCCAACATTTTTCACATTAAAAGACCATTTATGTACACACTTTCAGAAAACACCAGTGAATAGTCTTTTTAAAAACGGCTCGGTTTTTTCAGCAGGGAAAAAAGGTGCTATAGTAAAACTAACCAAAAGCAACTTCACAGGGTGATCTGATCATACATTCCAAACTAGGAAGTTCATGGTGAGTGGTCACACCCCAGGCACATAACTTCTTTAGCAAAAGGTCTATCTTTGCCTTACACAAGCCGTGTCCATGGTTTTTGTGCATCTTCATTAACATAGCTTTTTTTTTTTAAAGAAATGTTTATTGATTTTTAGAGAGAAAGAGAGAAATGCTGATAAAAGAGAAACATGGAATGGCTGCCTCCCACATGAGCTCTAACCAGGAATCAAACCCCAAACCTTTTGGTGAATGGGATGAAGCTCCAACCAACTGAGCCACACCAGCAAGGGTACTAACATACACATACTTTAAAATTTTTATTTATGTATTTATTTTTAGAGAGGGGAAGGGAAGGAGAAAAAGAAGGAAAGAAACATCAACGTGCAGTTGCCTCTTCTGCACTCCCTACTGGGGACCTGGCCTGAAACCCAGGCATGTGCCCTGACTGGGAATCAAACCAGCAACCCTTTGGTTCGCAGGTCAGCACTCAATCCACTGAGCCACACCAGCCAGGGCCATAGGGGTATTTCTGAAATGCCTCATCTTGAGAATCCTTGGGAGCCTAACCAGTATCAAGAGAGCACATAATCTTGACTATCCTACAATCCAATCCCCACCACCCTTTCTCTCATCTTCTTTTAAGGCTCCTTATATTACCTCCTGAATCCCAAATGCATAAAAGAAGCTGAAAACTGTCATTTTGGGAAGCACTATTCTCTGTTGAGATCTTACTTCCCGCACTGTCATCAGTTTGGCTCAAACAACTCTTACAAAAATAATTCTCTACAGTTTGGGATGTTTCTTACAACATTCACTACATCACGAGGAATGTTTATGAAATGTGTTAAGTTTTACAATGTACCATATTTTGCTGCTCCTGTGTATAATGCACACCCATGTTTTTGTAAGCATTATACACAGGATTATAATGCCCAATATTATACCCGTGACATGTAATCATTATACCCAAGTATAATGCACATCCTTATTTTTCTCTCAAAAATTTGGGCAAAAAAGTGCATTATATGGTAAAATGTTTTCCAGTGCTATTACACATCGTAACATATACAATGTGATAATGAGAAGAGCTATGTATTTTGTGTTTGCCAACAATATAATCTGTTACAGGACAAATAACTATGACCATTTTATGAGCCATTTATTTGAATATGCATCAAGTACAACTATTTGTACAAGTCTATAGACTTGTACAACTCTAAAACTAATCAACTATTGCTTTTTCAAACTGAGAAACTATTTGATAATTGTACATAGTTAATAATACACAAAATAATTCCAACTTTAGTAGCTGACCATTCATCTTTTCCCCTTTACTTTTTCCCTAGTGAATACAGTCTCATTTTTGTTTACTTAATGATGACAAAGAAGTGAATTAGTTCTCTTAATTTTTAAGGACTCTGAATTAGGGCTAATTGAAAACATCTATCTTAGCAATCTTTTTGTTGTGACTATACTTTTAAAATATCCTCTATGTTTAAGGTTAAACATAAATATAACAAAAACCACATGATCGTTTCAATAGATGGAAAAATATTTGATAAAATCCAACACCTTTCATGATAAAAATACTCAATGTACTCAACCTGATAAAGAGAGCTATAAAAAACCCATAGCTAACAACACACTTAACTGTGAAAGACTAGATGTTTCCCTCAAGATAAGGAACAAGACAAAGATGTTGATTCTTACCACTTCTATTCAACATGGTATTGGAGGTTCTACCCAGGTAATTAGCCAAGAAAAGAAAACAGAAGACACCAGGTTGGAAAGAAAGAAGTAAAATTATTTTCGCAGATGACATGACCTTATATATAGAAAATCTTAAGGAATCCACTAAAAATTAATAAAACTGATACAGAAGTTTAGCAAGGTTGCAGTATCAATATACAAAAATCAACTGTATTTCTATACAGCAACAACCAACAATCTGAAAATGAAATTAAGATAACAATTCCATTTACAGTAACATAAATAGGTAATAAAATTTTTAGAGGAGTAAATTTAGCAAAAGAAATGCAAAACTAGTATACTGAAAACTACAAACATTGTTAAAAGAAGTTAAGGAACACCTAATCAATGAAAAAACATTCCATGTTCATGGGTCAGAATACTTAACACTGTTAAGGTATCAATACTCCCCAAATTCACCAACAGATTCAAAATCCCAGGTGGATTTTTTACAGAAATTGAGAAGGTAATCCTAAAAGGACTACAACAAGAACTCAGGTTCCTTCTATCTTGTGGTGTCCCCACTGTCCCCATCCCCTAGGCCCTCAGAATCCTTTGCATTCAGCAGACAAATTAGGGAAAGGAATGCATCTTAACCACGTTGACCTGATATGACACATATCATTTATTTCATTACTTTGGTGAGAACTAATCACACGGTCACACCCAGTTGTGCAAGTGACTAGAAAAATATAATCTCTGACTGGGCAGCTGCTGGCCAACAACTAGAATATAGAAGAGGAAGCACAAACATTTGGTAGACAGCCAGCAGCCTCAACTAACTTTTCCCTTTCTTTTATCTCCCAACAAATTTTAACCTGGTATATGTGCTGTGGAAGTGAGCACACTTCCTTTTTAACTTTCAGGAAGCTAATGATCACATTTCAGCAAGTAGTACCTTTTGGTAGCAGACTCCCTCCACAGTTATGTTTGGTTACCTCAGGCTATTTTTGGTATCTTACAGCCTCGCACCAATATTCACATGGTATTGGAGGTAATAGTTTTGACTGACCTCATCCACATTTTTAAAAATATGTTTCCTTCTGTGGTCTATATAAATATCCACACCTCCCCCATGTGGTCCAACTTACATTTCTATGTACTGTCTCTACTTATATGTCCCATGGGCACACTGAACTTTACATGCATCAAACTGAACTCACCTATTACCAAATCCACTCCTTCTGTATCCCCCCCAGTCTTAGTTAACAGCTTCCCACCTAAGCGTCCAAGCCAAAATTCTCAACACTCATTACTGGTTACTCCCTTTCCCCTCCAACACACAGACAATGGAGATACCACACAGAAGTCTCCCTCAAATCTGTTTCCTTCTCTATCCCTACTACCTGGAGTCCTAAAACAGCTCTTTTAATTGACTTCAGAATACAATTTCCCTACCTATCACCAAGTGCTACAAAAATTATCTCCCTAATATATTCAACCATGTTACCTCTACATAAAGTTGATAGCTCCTTACTAGTGAGATAAAATCCTAAAGTTTAGTATGGCATTTAAGACCCTTCACAATAAACCTCCATCTTCCCCTCTCCTCATTCCACAATCCCTACCCTTTAGTCCCATCAGCTCATTTTGGGTGGCTTTCCAAATATACTTTCATGACTCTGTAATTTCTTTCATATATTTACATTTCACTCATCTATTTAGTAAGAATGTTCCTTTCCCTTCCCTTCTTTGTCTGACATCCCACTTATACTTCAACGGCACTTTTAAATATCACTTTCTCAGTGGCATCTTCTACAAGGCATAATTAACTGCTCCATTCTTCAATGACCACTATGTTGAAACCTCAAAGACAGTAATTATCAAATTGAATTATGATTAGTTGTTGACTGATGACAATTTTCTATGTCACCCATAAGATTTTTGGTGCTTTGAGGCCTGAAGAGATGATCTCCATTTTTGTGTCTTCACTGAGTATGGAGTCAGCCCTACTGCCCCAATAAACAGAACACTTATTTAGAAAGCATGTGTTTTTTCAGATGGCCAGAACACAAAGTAGCCACCTTGTTTCCCAATGACATAGTTCAGATAGCCACAGTGTTGTGTGGGAGTCCCTTATGCCTTTGCTCACTACCTGTAAAAAGAATTACACCTAGGGGACTTCCGCCAAGATGGAGAAGTAGGTGGAGGGTCCACCTCGCCTCTGTGCACAACCAAATCTAAGAACAACTATTTTTAACAGCAGTCACAACCAAGCCACACGGAAAATCGACAATACGGAGTCCAAAGGACAACTACATACTCGGCTGGACCGGTACGAGGAGCGAGGCCAGCAGCGGAGCAGGTTAGCAAGAAAACATTCCCGGGGCGGTGCGCAGAGCGCGCAGGCAACCGAGGGCGCTGATCGCCAGCCAGCTGGCTGCCGGAGCGCACACGGAAGAGGCGCGGAGGGTCGGTCGCGTGCATTTACGTGCGGAGAAACCAGTGAGAAGGGAAACCCGCGCGGTGCAGCAGGCTCGCAAAATTAGGATCGGATAAGCAAGCCCGAGGCGTTTGAGTGTCTGGATGCGCTGGGCTAGCGGAGAGGAACGCCATTGCTCCCTCTCTGACCCCGCCCACACACACAGCGTCACAAACCAGCGACCTGGGTCTCCCCGTCCTGGTAAACAACTAAGGCTTCGCTCCGCTCACTTAACAGCACGAATAAACCAAAAATGGCTCTAGAACAACTCAGAGCCCCAGAACCGATAGAACTAAGTGATGAAGAAATAGCCAGTCTTTCAGATGCACAGTTCAAAACACTGGTTATAAAGATCCTTACAGAACTGGTGGATTTTAGTCACAAATTAGAGAAACATATGGAAGCTAAATTAATTGAAATGAATGCTGATACAAAAGATACCAATAGTAATGGAAAGAAAATTGGGACTCAAATCAAGGGAGAGAACCAGATGGAAGGAAAAAATGATCAAACAGAAAGGAATGAAGAAATAAGAATTCAGAAAAATGAGGAGAAGCTTAGGAACCTCCAGGACATCTTTAAACGTTCCAACATCCGAATTATAGGGGTACCAGAAGGGGGAAAGGCACAACCACCAGTTGAAAAATT